CCGCCTGATTTATGGCGTATCGATTTCTCGACAAAAAAAGATTTTTATATTCGAACGTCACTGCCTAAGCAGGTAGATGAAACTTACTCCTCGATAACAATTCAGGTCAGCATATGATGAACACAGAAATCGAGAAATCACACCTCGCAATATTTCACAGGAAAAACAGCTATTACAGATATTAATTTATTGCCTGAATTTGATTGTCATCGTTCAGTAACAAAATATTTCCTTTTTCTAGTTTCAGCAGTAGAATTACTTTATATGGGTTTCTAAATATAATCAATAATGCGACCAAATTAAGAAAAGAGTGAAAATCCTAACGTAACTCGTTCAAATATCACTTTATTGTAAGATTTTCACATAACATTTCACAAAACCATGACACGTGTTTCACTATACAGTGTGTGAAAGCCAAATGAAAGAAATTCATTATTTTGGTTCTGTTTTAATTTGTTTAAAAACTGTTTTTCTGTTTTTCTATTAATCAGCTGTCGCACCCCTACGAACGACAACCCTCAGAAGTAAAAACTTGTGCGAGCTAAGGATTAACGAGGTCTTACCTTTTAACTGTGATTCCTAACACGGTTACGGTATTTTAACAAAATCTCGAACCACGTCAAATTTAAATTATAATTTGACATACTTCAACGGAAAAATGCTACCCCTACCTTCAACCACCCTCGAATAACAGGTACAACCCCCAATTTTTCAAATGGGAAGTATAGGCGTTCAGACAAAAAACTTCTTCTGTGTTATTTCATTCCTTTGAAGGGAGTTCTCCCTGTGAGGCCAATATAAATTTTAAGACAAGAACCACAAATCAACTCATATACTCCTGATCTATGGCATTTCTTCCTTTATCTTTTTAAATGAATTTGCTCATATTATCATTTGTTCTATAGGCAACGTCCAAATCTTTATTTTTCAAAAAACGAATGGATTGGCTTACTTTGGTGGGTTCACCAAAGTAGGTCAATATTCTATTAGGTATGCTTACTATCGGTTTTCGAAATTAGACAGACCTGGCACAACATTTGTTTCCATAGTTTTTAGAAAGAGTGGAATCAATAGTATTCACCTTGTTCATCGCAATGTTTTCAATGAAACTCTGTGTTTTTTTATGAAAATTGCTTTCTAAATTTTGAATAGTTTGTGTGTAGCATATTACTGAATGTTGCTACTTTATGCCGTAATATATGTGTGGATTAATCATGAACATTTTACACAGACGAAAAATAATAATATTTCTATCTCATGACTGTCGTACTAGAAATAAATATAAACTACAACAACCATTCGCTAGATTATCAGTGTAGCTGAATCATCCGGAATCGATGCGTGTCAGGCTCTATAATGTTTTTAATTTCAATATTAGTTTCACTGGTGTCTGTCTTTGTTAAACACATCTGACGTGTTACCCAAGTTAGTATATTACAATGTAGGCTCCTGTATTGTAAATGAACACTTCTTCAACTAATAAATTGATTGATAACATCCAGAGCTGAACAAATTATTTTCAGGAATGTTAAGTTATACCCAGTGAAAAACAAAACTTTGAATACTGAACAATCATCATAGCCTGTGCTTCATGCTTCCCCCTGTAAGTGAGACAATACAACAATGACTAAAAAAAAGTTCTCACAGCTTTGAAACATTGGCGTTTGAAAATTGATCGTGAGATCGATAACCAGCACCGATGTTCCTAATTATTTCATCTCCAGAAACGCAGCTTTGTTGACTTTATTTGGCTTTAATCTTCGGCTCTAAGTGCTTTGGTCGGTGTACCAACAAACAAACAGTTCAACCGCTAAGACAGAAGGGTAAATGTTTGTAAAACTCACAACTGAGTTTAGCGGAAGACAAATTGCACTGTCTCGTTTGGTCTTTCTAAGGCAATTCCATACTACTATGACTCAGGGTGATTTCTGATTGGGGTACAAATCATTTGTTTGTCGACTGAAGCGGATTACTGTCGAATGAACACATGAAACTTTATGAGAACTGAAGAACATCTTCAGATGTTCGTAATTAACCCTTTTCTTGCAGTTTGTTTATGAAAATAGAATTATTCATGAGTTTTTCGTCTCATCAGCCATTATATGGTTAGTAAATCGATAGGAAAGACTTGATGAAGAAAGATTTTAATTGAATTGATTTTGTTAAACGTAGGAAATGATTTTGAAGGTTGATATCGCATTTTTGGTGTGTTTAGTTAGATAGAAACTTGCCAATTTCAATATAAATGTGATAGTTATTGACATACCTTTGTTTGAGTGTATGATATGGAATGTCATTATTATTAGTGACCATCTGCTCCGCTCGGGGAGTTGATATGATATTGTGTGGTAGTTGGTCAACTCAAAATCACAAGAAGTCGACGGATATTACTTTATATACCCCTACCGCTGTTCCAAAACATTCTACAGCATTCAACAATGACCTGGACCGACTATTTCCGAACATTCCAAATCATTCCAGAATGTTCCGGTATATTCTGGAATATTCTTGAACACCCTCGAATGATCTGAACCGTTCTTAAAATGTCTACAGACGAAACTTGCAATTGTTATATCTTTGTAAGCACAATCTTCATTCAACATCATACAACTTGCAATTTTTTTTGAATTTCTCGGAGGAAGCTCATGAGTTCATAATAATTGATGTTTCACATTTAGAAACGTTCTTTAAAAAACATTGTTTCACAAAAAGCAAATAAATAGTCGCTTATTTGTTTGTATTGCTAAATTGAATTCCCGATTCAATTATCTTTCAATTTTGAAACAATGAAACAAAACCGACACCGAATAAGCATGAACTTGTCAGCCACTCGACTTTAAGATGGGATCCTTTTGCCTGTGAGGTGCAAATGTTTGCATCCCCAGACTTGCTTTAGCCTTTTCTCAGTGCCTGTACAAACAGCAAATGTAAATAACAGTTGAATGGTGATGTCTTTCCATTTCGAGTTGTTACCGCACGCCTCCGGGTAACTAGATCGGCAGGGGCGTAACGAAAATTGTTTTTGGAATCAAAACATTTTTATACCTTGAATTTTCGGTATATATACTGGCAGACACATTGATTGAATTCGAATATCATCGAAAAATGTCAGATAACAAGACATCATCGATGAGACTTCGTTCGAACTTTCATCAACCGTCCAAATTCGATGTTTCACGAAAAACAACCTGCTAGGTTTGATGATCCTCAAAAGTGAATAACAGCAGCATACAGAAATTTTGAAACATGTTTTCTAAGTATTCAGAGTACATGAGTCATTTTGGATATTTTCTGGGCAAGCAAGCAAGTAAATCAAGAGTGTTTGATTGGCTTTCGAGTCTTCTTGACTCTTTTTGACGTGCCACCCCACTGAAGATGACTGCCGCAGTTGGAGTTGAAACGTTTGAAGATTATAACCGACTACAGCAAAAGACAGAAGCCAACCAAAACATTGACGCCAGCTGTGAAAGGCTATATTCCTATATAAATCAAGTGTGTTTCTCGCAAATCAAATATTATTTTTGTGGAAGAGGAAGAACTAACAAAAAAATCAATCGATATTCACTTTAACCGAAAAGAGACTAAAGACGATCATTTTGTTCAAAAAATTACCTAGAACAAAATCACTTCTTCAATTTTTGCTAGTCTCAAAATTATAAATCAGGAAACCGTCGAAAAGAAAATGAAAAGCTCCTTAATATGATGTGCTTCCTCGGTAAAGGAAGCTACGGTGTTAGCTAAAATGTGTCTGGAAATAAAACATTGTTTTTGTTCGAATTTTTGAGTTGTCTTCACCTTCTATAACATCCTTATCAGTTTCCAATATATTTTTTGTTCACAATGTAGCTTTTCTTCTGTTTCTTCAATCTCCAAGTATTTTTTTTCCTGATTCATTTTTAGACTAGTTTTTGTTGAATTATTATTCAATTCTAAAAGCTCAAGTGCCCATCCTCAAACACATCATCGAGTTCCTCCAGACATCTGGTACAAACCATACATCATTTGGGAAGGTATTTGCGTTCGATATACACGCATAGGAAATGGTTGAATGAATTCCCCTTTACATTTTTAACGTTGTGCCACTGTTACACGTCTTGCATGAACTCGTTTCATAAAAATTACAGACACAATTTTCATCACTCAAGCAGAAGATAAACCCTCAAGTAATATGGAATTGATATGTTCCGAGGAACGAAATATATAGTTCAGGCAATGTTTACATGTAGCTGGAGATGCATGTTATTAAATATAGTTTTGAGTAAACAGAAATAAGGAAATTTTGTTCCGAAGAAAGTCTGGAGCCGAAAAAATCATCTTGTCCTTCCTTAAAATCCAAACTCATGAAATTGTTCCAGAAAAAGATCACATCATTACAGAAAAACAATCGTTTTCTTGCCAACGTTTCGAATTTAATTGACTTCTTCTTCAGGGCTCTGTAACAATGAATTTCAAAAACATCCCTTCCTAAAACTTTATCACTGTTGTCGTTTCTAATTGTTGTAAAAAGTATTAATGACATTTCACCATTTCACCAAAAAGGAGTTTTCCTTGTTGATCTATGACTGAATTTAGAATCATGTGACGTGTTAGATTAATTTCCCTAAGCGTCCTCAGATCAATGTGAATCACTACTTTCGCACAGGCACCGCTCATAGAGCGCCTTAAGGATTTTTCTGTAGTGATTGTGTTTTGTCCTTGAAAAAAAACTGAAATAATCCAAAATTACCATTTTCCAAACGGGAGTTATGCGATATGCGCTAATCTTGGCCACCTAACGAGAACCGTACATTGCCGAAAAAAGCCGAACTGCGCACAGCTCTACTGTGAAACTTCTGGAATGTCTAAACAAGAATTAGGACTATATGATTTTTGACATTTAAAAACCCTACCCCACAAAAATATTCTCGAACCTCAAAATGTTATGATGAACAATTGAAACACCCTGTATTCCTCAAATTGAGATAATAGCAAACAGACACCCATCAGATTTTCATTCTAAGAATCGCATCTTTATATATTTTTTTGTCATTTCAGTGCTTCGAGATGAATTTCGCTTCGAACCTCAAAGCTCCCGAGTTGCTGCAGGAGAAGACATAGTTTTGGAGTGTTCTCCTCCAAAAGGGGTTCCCGAGCCTCACGTATTCTGGAGGAAAGACGGGCAATCTCTCGTCGTCGAAGGGAGGCTGAAACTTGTCGATGGTTACAATTTGGCAATAACCGATACCAAAACTTCGGATGACGGAAAGTATCAGTGCGTCGCCAAAAATACGGCAGGCATAAGGGAATCTGCTGCGGCAATATTGAAAGTTTATGGTAAGTAATATATTGAATATATAACTAAACAGTTTAGTTTGATCTTTCTCTTGAAGATGATCACTTGGTGATCGAAACAATTGTCGAGGTGTTAAAATAACGGTTTGGTATAGGGAAAAAACTCCATTAGTATTCATTACTACACCAAAGGTTCCACAAGTAATATATTAAGCAAAGAGCTCCTCAAGATCAATAATGGTAATCATTAACGTAGTCCTATGAAGACACTTCTATTTCTCCTGGATTTTAAATGAAATTTCAGGTTTTCAAGTAACAACAACAAGGAATTATATTAGTTCGAACTTCCATTGTCTATGATTCTAATGTGATTCGAAATCTCTGAAACAACAAATGAAATTTAAATTAAAAAGATTAGCTACAAATATCAATTATATCGAGCAATACAAACCTGAAATTTATTTATTTATTTATTACACAAATAGGGATACAGACAGAATAAATCCAAAAAATATCCTCATTTTACATATGAAAGATAGTGAGTAAACAAAATATAAATTCTAAGTACATTACATTATATAGTAATGAATATTAACAAAAAACTAAATAAACAGTGTATGAGGAACCGATAACTAATTATAAATAAAAATAGATTTCACATACTTTTTAAATCTAAGGAAATCGCGAAATAAACTGTGAACAGTGCTTCAGTATCTAATTTATTCTTAAGGGATTTAATTAGATAATTCGATTGATTCAATTTCTTGGATATGAACTCTATACGATGGGTTGCCTTTTATGTTTCGGGATTTGGCAACCCTAGTGTTGCAATCCGGCAACTGACAAGATAAAAAAGATCAAAAGCCACAGATGATTACCAAGCTCATCGAAATTTCTCAAAACACTTGGTATCAACAATACAAACTTCACGTCGTGAGTTCAAAGAATCTATTGCAGATTCTGAAAACAATAAAAAACTGTACAAGTTCATACGATCTAACCTAAACACCATTATCGTGGATAATTCTCCAAACTGTGGACTGAGTAGAATTGACAGCTTCAGCAATTACTCTTGTGCTTGTTTCTGGATTCTCCTCGAGAGCGTTCGNTGTTTTTACTTCATCCGTAGTGACTGGTTCAAAAAACATGGTTGCATTAACATTTGGCATTGTGGTACAACTTTCTGAATCTTTCCCTGGAAAATGTGTCCTGATTTTCTCGTCAATTATTGTTGAGAAATATGTTCCAAACTTCTTTTTCATCAATTCAGAAGGATCGTCGAAAAGAAATGGATCGAAGTTATTTATGTCGGCCACTGCCGAAACGAAAGTACATAACATTTTTTTCATTACTTCGAAACAAACAAGACCCCATCCCATAATTCATTTATATTTTTGTTCGCGAAGATAAAATTCCGGCACGAACTACGAAAAAAGCAAAACTTACATCGTTTCCTTCGTCCAATCCAATTTTCTGTCTTATGAATGTTATCTGAGATAATATCGATCGTTTTCTGGAAAAGCTCGTCCACTTTCGGGTGCTTCACTTCTGTTTTTCATCCGATCAAAGATTGGCCGACGTATTTAGAGAGGTCAGTCCTCGAGGGATACTCGAAATAGCCCTTCTGGACCGACTAGATCGGAAGGGGCTTATTTATAAATAGATTTTGTTTATTTTGCAACCACTCCGGACGAATTCAATGGATACATTCACTATTGTGGTGCAGTTTTAATTGGGTTAATGATTGAGGTCGGTGAAAGGAGGATTGAACGTTTTTTTATTGTTCATTCTTTTTCATTTAGAAAACAGAATAGCAGAGTTCTATTCATATGAAGCAACGGACGGCTGACTTGTTTAGATGAAAAATTGATATTTTTGTGAGCTTCCGGAACATGAATAAAATATCATTAAAAAAATAAATCAATGATATAACTTCACACTTGTCTCTACGGGCCAGTTGTATACGTCTCGTTTAAAGTTCAGTTTAAACTTGGGTTTAGGCTTATATTTGAACTTAGGTTTAAACCGATAAAATGCTAAAATATCATTTGTATATCTTCGTAGACACGACACCATTGACAAGTGACAAGTGAATTGAAATTGACCTGCCGTCGTAGATTGACGTAAAGTCGTAAATGCCATATGCAATTTGTTTCATAAGTTCATAATCTGACTCTGTAATAAAATGGATTGCGTGAGCTACTCCAACAGGAGGTCATCCAAATTTTTCAAGCAGGAAGTGAAAATCCATAAGGACATTCTGGAGTCCAAGAAAAGTGACGCCGTGACATGGAGGGAAAAGGGGGAATGTTGGCTGAAATTGTGCTTGGAATTTAACACAAGCAAGAACACGAAAGAACCCCGTAACTCCAAAGTCCTCAAGGCAAAGTGAGAAAATGTAAAAAAGAACACGAAGAAAAAATTTGCAGCAGAAAAAAAGGAAATTTACAGAACAGGGGAAGAAAAAGGGAATTTTCCCCACATTGCAACACAGGATGATGATATAAAGGAGATCATGGGAATTGCTGTTACGGGTTTGCAGAGCTACTTTGACAGTGATTAAATTGTGTTGTGTTTAACCAACGCTTGTAGTTTAACTGCCCCTCCATCTATCAGTTGACAATTAAACTCCGAATGGCAGTCACAAACACCTATACAACGAACTTTATTCGTTAAACCAGAGTTTAACTAAGACTTGTGGTTTAAACTGAACCTATACAAGTGGGCCTAAGTCAAACTATTTTTCACCTACAGTAAGTGAACATACTTAAAGACTAGCTATAAATCAAATTATCTGAAGGCACTATTCATTCCGGCCAGTCTTCCTTAACTACACAGTAGGTTCGAAATTATTATCAGACAACTCAAAAACAAGAAGTCTCCAGGCATAAATGATCTTAAAGCAGAGACTCTCAAGTGATTCAGTGGGGTGAGAGAGTTGCACACAATGTTGGGTGATATACTGGTGGCTTCTAGAGCTTACTTTGTTTCCACAGAATTGGTACTTTACGTTGGTACAGAAGAAGGCCACAAATTGCTCCCGCATCCATCGTATTCTCCAGATCTGCTCCCCCGCGACTTTTTCATGTTTTTAGACCTCATAAGATGGCTCGTTGGAAAGTCATGAACTCCCACTATGTCTCACGATAAAATCACAACTCTAAATATATCCTTTGAGAAGTCGAGGCGGATCGCTAGTCATTAATATTTTTCTGATATGGATTCCACATTTCATCGCTAGTTCCCACACATGGAATAGTAACATGGAGAGTTGAACCACATCTTCCAAATGCGTATGTGAAGCCAAAAAAGTGTCATGAATTGTTTGCCCCAGACATTTTTTTCATTCGAATATTGTAACTTTTGTGTGAACCGGTTTGCGCGCATAGCCTATGCAAACATAATAAATTTAAAAGCGGCGACAAATCAAAAGGGGAGGCAGCTTTTACGGGGTTAAAGAGGATCAAACAAATGGCGTCATTAGCGTGCGGTCGAGAAATAATGAGGAGCAAGCTCTGATCGGATGTGCCTCTCGAAAAACAAACCACTTTACCATCATCGATTTATGCTATTAAGCGCTTCCAATTTCCATCCAGCCACCGGAAAATTCGTGAATATCAATGCGAGCTTATTTTACGTTTTCGGTACGGGTATGGAGTCGGTAAATAAATATTGGCTCGCTTTTTCACCTTGAATTAAGTAACCGCATACGCTTTGAACCAAAGTTTCTCTTGGAATTATTTGGGAGATGAAGGGAGTTGAAAAGACAGAGTTTCACCGTCTCTGTGTGATTGGTAGACGTCTTTAATTTTTCATTCGAATCAAATGGTAATCCATTTTGCTCTAAACTATTGGATTACGGTCTTCTCAGAAGTCGAAACTTGTGCGAGCTAAGGATTAACGAGGTCTTACCTTTTAACGTGTGATTCCTAACACGGATTGACTAAATATATTATTTCCGAAAGCCTTACTTACATCATACTTGAGAGATAGATTTCAGTATGTTTCAGGGGTACCTCGGGGGTCCAATTTGGTCCCTACACTTTTTCTTTCATTCATACATGATCTGATAGATTCTCTAACCAGTGGAAGTTTGCTTTTTTTGATGACTTGAAGATATTTTCTGATATTAGGACTGACAGTGTTTGTGTATAACTGCGAAGTGATTTGAATAAAATTAATTACTGGTACAAAAACAATCTATTACACAAGGATCCAAAAAATTGTAAATAAATCCTGTATTTTCACTCGAAACACCGTTCTTTACGATCACAAAATAGGGTTTCGAATATAATCATTGACAATTGGTAATGAACTCCTCGGATCAATCTTCAAAACTAAACTCTTAACTGCTTCGGGAAGTTCTTCCTCGCCCAATAAGAATTTTTGACTGGCAAATTGTGAAAGCATTGGTCGAAGAAAATACGAAATTTTATCACTTGAGAACCCTCGAATAACTATTTGTCACTTGGCGAAAGTTCCAAAATGTTTGAACACGGTTTCCTGTTTTTGAACTCGATTTTTTGGCTCCGTGCAAAATCATGTCTCCCCCATACAAGGCAGAGAAGTCTTAAGACTTTTTTCATTAGTCATGGGTCGAAATGATGAAACGTTTTCTTGTGACTATATGGTCTTTCAACACAGACTTTCGAACTTTGACAATTGATAACGGCCACCTTTTTGAAGCTACATCTGTTGAATTACTTGTCTTTTATTCAGTCTGTTTTGCTAAATCACCATAGATGGTATTCAAAAGCACCTACAAATAATTAAATTGTTTTATCAAAATGGTTGTTCTGTTCGGGCAACGTACCGCGCGTTTCGCCCATTTTACGTTCGCCATAATCGTCCTACGGAGAGGACTATTCACAATGTGGTAGATAAATTTGAGTCCACTTGTTCAGTAAACGATCGACCAATATCCGTACGTTGACGAAAAGCAAGAGCTGCTGAAAACATCGCCCCTGTGTGTGAGAGTGTGCAGGAGAATCTGAGGCTATCGATTTCGTGCGGCTCACAAGAATAAGGGTATACTAATCTCT